TAGACTGTGCATTTCTCCCTAATTCTTGAAGTTCAATCTGAGTGTTCAGAGGCATCAGGAGGAGGTGATCTGCAATCTCTCTTCCGTTCCGTTTTTCACCCTAGTGTGTCAGATTCAGTGGGAACTGAGGAATAGTCTGACCCTAATAGTAATCAGATGTTTGGATACTGTTCGCTTAGACCTGTCTAGACAGTGTGTAGAGGCTCAGCAGCCAAGGGATGAAGTTAAAAGAAAAAGGAAAAGAAAACAGAAGAAGAAAGAAAAAAGACAATAAAAAGTTTTATATTTTAATTATAAAAAGCAAAAAATGAAAACTGTGTGGCATATTTCACAGCTCAAATTTGGTAGCCATCTGAGAAGGACCTGGGTTTGTGTCTCTCCTAAATGGGAGAGGGGAAAGGCACAAATTAGCAAGATAAAGGAGGGGCTTGAGAGCACAGGAAATACTTAAGAAAATTTTTTTTTAATTAAAAGACACAGGGAGACACAGCGAGACAGAGAGAGACAGACAGAAATGAAGGAAAGGATACAGAGGTTGTCCTACACTGTAGAAATTCATCTGGAGAGAGAAGTCTCAGTAGAAAATCTTCCTTTTTAGTCCCTGAAAGCAATATTTCACAGCTCAAGTTCAGTAGCCATCTCACCAGTGTTGCTTCTTGCTTGCTGCTGGCATATTTGTCACTCTCCCTGATTCTAGCCTCCTGCTCTACCTTGCAGCTCTCAAAAGTTCTTCGAGGAGGGAACCAGCAGTTAGCGTAATGGCTATGTCGCTGGACTCCCACGTAGTCGACCACGGTTCAAGTCCTGGACCTGGTGGCTTAAAACTCACCCTGGGCGCGTGTGCGTGCGTGCCCAAGATCCCGAGAGGAGAATGGAGGAGAAGGGATTGCGGCGTGACCATCCCCCCTGGGGGGTGATTTCTCGCTTTCTGTCTCTATGTCTCTGTCTGTCTGTCTGGCGAGCGCACGCGCCCTATAGTGAAAATCTCTCCAAAAAAAAAAAAAAAGTTCTTCGAGGAAAGCTTAATACCAAGGGTGGTTGAATGACTCTTAAAAGGGAGGGAAGGCTGAAGGCTGAGTTTGCAGAAGCTTAGATCCTGGGTGACTGACTCTTGCGTTCTTAGCCCCAGCAAGCTGATGCTGTGGATCTAACTAACTGCTAGAAGAGAAGGCCCTGATTGTGTTTGGGGAAAAAAATAAAATAAAAACAACTCCTTCCACTTTGTGGCCGGGTGTGTCCCTTGGATTTATTTTAGAATAGTCATTTTCTATTTCCTTAGGGTATTATGCTACCAGCATGACCACTTTATTGGAAGGATCCAATAAAGAAAGCAGTGGGTGGCCTGCCGAACTTGGGTTGTAACAGAATGGTATTATCCAGGAGGCAGTACAGTTTAGTGGCTCAGAACTTGGGCTGCTTGGTTTGGATCTTGACTCTGCCAAGACCAGCTCTGTGCAATTTCTGTCCTTGTTAAATGCTTTCAGCAAAGAGAAGGGGAGGATCGGAGGCTGGCATCTCCGCCAAATCCTTATGGCCCTCACTTCAGACCCTGGCATAGATTAGGGGGCAGTGAGGACACTTGCCCCTCCCAGGAGAGCAGAGGGGTGTGAGGAGGAAGAAGGAGGGGGCTGGAACCTGTCAGATCATAGGGGTTGGCCTGCAGGTATCTTTGTCTCTCCCCCTATGGGGATTGTTTTAGAGCTGATACAAGTCTTGGGGATATACTGGAAGATTCAGAACTGCTCTAAGTAAAGACAACGTACAGCTGCTGCTGATGTCAGCATCAAACAGCACTGAATATGTTCAAATACTTGAGCCACTTAAACTCCCAAGAGAATTCCTGGCTAGGTCTGAAGATGACTTTGTATGCTAAAGCAAAGGAGCTGTTTGGTCTTTTGAGACTTCTCATTGAGAATATATCATTATTCCTATCAGGAACTAAACTTGAGGAAGGGCATACTCTTCTATCTCTTAAGGCAAACTTCTCCAGAAAGTCTTCTTAGAAGTGAGGAATGGGGTGGGATGTCATATGTGGGAAGCCAGCTGTGCTGAGGGTACAGTGGGGCTACAGTGATCTGTGGTCTGTGTTCCCCCAGAATTTGTGTGCAGAAACCTAGTCTCTACTGTGATGGTATTAGGAGGTGGGACCTCTGGGAGGTCATTAGGTCATGAGGGCTCACCTTCGTGAATGAGATGAATGCCCTTATGAGAGAGGACTTGCCCCTTTCACCACGTGAAAACACAGTAAGATGGTGTCATCCATGAACCAGGAAACAGGCCCTCAGAAGGTACCAAATGTTCTGGAACTTTGATCTTGGATTTCCTAGCCTACAGAGTGAGAGAATTAAGAATCTATTGTTTGTACATAGCCTGTCTATGATACTGTGTTACTGCAGCCTGAAGAGATTAAAACAGTGGCACTTGAATCACAGGCTTGGGCTCATATTCTTTGAAGTTAGGCTTGGCTCATGATTTGTTTTGGCCAATGAAATGTAAGTTGAGGTAGTAGTGTCCTTCTGGGACACAATCCCTTCCCCAGCCACAGGAACTGATGTTGCACCACTGTGTGTGTGTGGTTGTGTGGGGGGGGGCAGGGGAGAAGGGTAGCGTAGTTTCCATCAGCTAGCATCCCTTAGTGAGGGAAACATGATAGAAACTTGTTGATCCAAGACAGCAGGTAGCATGCACAGGAGATCCACATGCGCTGGGTGCAGATTCCAGTTTCAGGCTTGTTACCAAGTGCAACCAGCCTGTCCTGACAGATACGGTTAACAGCTAGCAGGACTGCCTGAGGGCCACTGGAGCCTTATAACATTGAGAGCTAGGATTTGTACCCATTTTACAGATGAGGAAGCTGAGGCCCAAGGAGGTAGCATTGCATAGCTGACTCTAAAGCTGGTGTTTGAACCACCCACTACCTCCTGCTAAGCCTGACATGTAGCCCTCAGCACCCTCACCTCCAGTCTCTCAGACCCTTACTCTGGGTTGTGCAAACATTGGCAGACTCCTTCCTGCCCTCCCCTAGCAGTCCCTTTGTGTCTGAGGGAAGAGGAGGCAATTCTCATGGGAGGAGGGACAGCAACAGGGAACCCAGGAAGCATACCCATCCATCTCAGTCCACAGGAGGCCAGGTTGAAGGTACAGGGTCACCCTATACCCACCACTTAGCCCTTCTATGCCTGGAATCTCCCACGAAGCCACCGGACACAAAAACTCAAGCACCGGCAACCAACGCTTCTGGGAAAAGGGATAATGGGCTATCCCCAGATATCGGTAAGCTGTTCTGGATCAAATGCCTACTGGGCGTGGCGGTCACTGCCGTGTCAGTTCAGGCTGCTGTAGCAAAGCACCACAGACTGGGTGTCCTATGAACATAAAACTATTGCTCTTAGTTTTGGAGGCTCAAAGTTTGAGGTCAAGTGCCAGCCTGAGGAGGTTCTGGCGAGGGTCCTTTTCTAGGTTGCAGATGGCCACTGTGTGTCCTCTTATGGCTGAAAGGGATTTTCTGTGGTCTCTTTTATAAGGGTGTTAATGCCACCCACAGGGCTCCACCCTCATGACCTAATCACCTCTCAAAAGCTCCACCTTGTACTCCCATTATCTTGGGAGTTAGGATTTTGACATGTGAATTTGGAGCACAGATGGTCAGCTCATAAAGATGACATCCAGGAAGAAAGTGCCAGCCAAACAAACTGAGGCAAGGAAAAGAGCTGGGGCCCCTCTCCACAGGGCGGCTGCTATTCTGCTCAGCATCCCCTGGTGGGAAGGTGGTCAAGTGTGGCCAGATCATCCTATTTTCTTTTCTTTTTTTTTTTTTTTGGAGAGGTTTTCGCTATAGGGCACGTGCGCTCGCCAGACAGACAGAGAAAGACAGAGAGACAGAAAGCGAGAAATCACCCCCCAGGGGGGATGGTCACGCTGTAATCCCTTCTCCTCCATTCTCCTCTCAGGATCTTGGGCACATACGCATACGCGCCCGGCGTGAGTTTTAAGCCACCAGGTCCAGGATGCGAACCGTGGTCGACTACGTGGGAGTCCAGAGCCATAGCCATTACGCTAACTGCTGGTTCCCACAGATCATCCTATTTTCCAAGAGGAGAAAAACACATACAGATTTTTTTTTTAAACGTTAACATCAACTCCTGATTTTAAAATGTTAGTGTGGTATATAAAGTGATGGTATCTGGTTTGAGATAAATATTCTTACTTCATTTAGACTCTTTGTAAAACAAAGAAAAACAAAAACAGAAATAACTTAAAATGCACATGTGCCAAATAAAACACATCTCCAGACTGAATGTGACCCCCAAGTCTCCAGTCTGTGACCTCTGGAAAGATCTAGAATCACTTTGCTGTTTGAAGGACTGTTTCTAGGAGCAGAAACTTCTCATCTAAACAAGGAGTATGTCTGGAAATGTTTGTCACCCACCTGCTGTGTGGGTGGAGTTGGCTGCCATCTGGACCACGGCATTTCAGAACACCACCTGCTGCAAGGTGTCCAGCGTTCCATAACTAGGCACTCAGTTCTTGTCTTTGGGCTTTGGTTCCTGGTTAAAAATAAATGAACCTTGACCGCCTTCTCAGTAGCTCTTCCATTAGTTAAAAAAAAAAAAAAAAAAAAAAAAACCCAAAGCAGTACGCGTGAAGACAAGACACTTAACAAGGGCCAGTGTGTGGGATGGTGGAAAGATGACCCTCTGGAGTGAGATGGAGGGGGCAGGAAGAGAAGCAGGGGCGACACATATCTGGAGGCCAGTGTGCACTACTTCTGTTCATGGTACCCGTCACTGGCCTCTGACATACGATCCCAAATTCCCAGCAGTGCCTGAGAAAGGGTAGCAAACCTGGAGGGAGAGAAACTTCAGACGCTTAGGCAGACTCATAGACTCCTCCAACCCAGTCCTCTCAAAGGCATGCTGACTTTTAATTTGTTGCTATTTGTACCAAGAGATAACTGTCTCTTCCCACATTCATTTGATCAACTTCTCATTAATTTCAAGCAGGTTCTTGTGCATGCTCTGAGAGACCAACTATACAAACGGACGATGGCCAGAATCCATGCGAAGACAGAGCTGTGACCCACAACCTGCAGCGATCAGTCCAATAACCTCTCCTCCCATAGCAATCAGACCCAAACTGCTAGAACCTCATTAATAGCTGATGTCTCCTCTAGTTTTTGTCCCTAATTCGAACTTTGGACCAACAAGAGAAAGCCACCTAGCCACTTGCACAGTCCACTGGGCTTCTGGTCACTACTCCTAATTTCCCTATCCCAACAACTTCCAATCACACATTGAGCCTTCCTTGTTTCCACTATCAAGCTGTTCCACTTCCCTGCCTGCCTTCAAATCTCTGCCAAGCAAATGATGGTGGCCAACTCCCTTGGTATAGTAAGCTCCAAATAAATATCACTATGTATGCATGTTCTCCTTTTATTGGGTTTTGTTCCTTTCCACAGCTCACACACACGCTCACACACACAATTTGGTTGTGAGTAGAGGTTGATCCAGGCAGGTAGCAATGGCCAACATGGTTGATTCAAACACAGCCTCACATGCAACTCTACGGGGTACACTTGGAGAAAGAGGCAATTCCTATTGGGTTGATGAGCCTCCCTCTATCCCAGATGAAGGGCAAAGAGACCCAAGAAATGTTTAAAATCATTGTTTTTGACTAAAACCTTCATTATTCCAGAGACAATGGGGTACTTGTCTCATGACAGAGTAAGTCAAGTGCTGGAGGGTTGCCCAAGTGTCTAGGGTCACCTAAGATGCAGTTGCACCACTTGAGCGGCCTGGGCTTAGATCTCTGCGGGCTGATGTCCTGCAGTGGAGGGAAGTTTTCTTCTTGCAAAAGGCAATCATTGGCGGCAGCAGCCACCAAGCCTACAAGGCAAGCCTCCTCGTCTCTGGAGGAAGTCGATACGTTTTGAGTAGGCAGGAGGCATCTCATCCTCTGCATCTATGATAGTGATTCAGATTTGCACAGCCACATTGGGTCACCAGATCTACATTAAACCCAATGAAAAGAGATACGCCTTGAGAAAGGAATAGCATTTTCTAGAATAAGAACAAATATTGGCAGGGATAGAAAGCTTTACATACACTATACCCATCTTTTGCAGGGAGAAGTGGTTGGAAATTAGAAAGTGGAAATTTATACAACCAATTAAAAAGGAGTTGGGATAGTTCTGAAATGTATTCCTGGCCCCCCTCTTTCACCAGTTTCTGATTTTTTAAAAGCTTCAAGACAGGCCTCTACAAAGAGCTGTATTTAGAAGTGCTGCTGAAACTTGGCAAGTTTGGAGGGAGGGTGAGGGAGACACCAGGTCGGAGTGCTCCGCCTTCTGGCGTGGGTCCCGTGAAGAGGAAGAGAAGGTGCAAAAATATCTTTGTTCTTTCTTAAGGCTGTCTGCCAGTTACTGAAACCAAGGTCCTGATTTTATTCCTGTTAATTAGGCTGACATCGCAGAACTGAGCAGAAGAAAAGCTGTCTGGAAAGCTGCTTTCCTGTCTCTATGGCTTCTGTGGAATCACGTGACATTGCAGTTACTATGGTGATTATCAGTCTTGAGTGGCTTGTCCACAAGCTGAACTTGCATCTGACAAGTCAGATATGTCAGTTTGGGGCAAAGTGAAGTGGATTACTGTTCTTCTTTTCTTGAAGAGACCTCCTTGGCTCCTGTGGTTGCTCTCTCCTCCTTTCCCGCTGGGTAGGCTCTTTCCACGTTGTAGTCTTGAGGTGGTTCTCTTCTCTCTTGTGATTGGTTGTGTCTCCAAGAAATGTACATAGCCCAGCCTCATGGCACAGTCGGTCGTACTGGAAGTCACTCGGTCTACCATGGTTCAAATCCCTGCCCAGTCGACCTGAACCACACCAGGAATGCAGAATCCTGGCAAGCTGGATTCTGGGGAAAGGTGATGGCAGCATGGCCGGACCCCGTTGCTCTATTTTCTTTCTTTCTTTCTTTCTTTTTTTTCCATATATATATGCACTTTCTAGCACTAATTCTTTTTGTCTTAATTTTCCAGAGGGTACATGTACTTAGGTGAGTGAGATAGAGAGAGAGAGAGAGAGAGAGGAAGTGAGAAAGCACCCTCCATGAGGAATGGTCATGCCACCACCCCCTCTTCCCCATTTCTCTCTCCCTTCAGAGTTTGGGGCATCCACGCACACATACTCAGTGTATTTTTCAAGCCAGTAGGTCCAGGACTGAAATTGAGTAGTTGGCCATGTAGGGTCCAGCTGCCTTAACCACCAGGTTATGGACTGGCTCTTGAGGAAGTGAGAAAGCACCCTCCATGAGGAATGGTCATGCCACCACCCCCTCTTCCCCATTTCTCTCTCCCTTCAGAGTTTGGGGCATCCACGCACACATACTCAGTGTATTTTTCAAGCCAGTAGGTCCAGGACTGAAATTGAGTAGTTGGCCATGTAGGGTCCAGCTGCCTTAACCACCAGGCTATGGACTGGCTCTTAAATTTTGTTTTTCATTAAAAAGAAAGAATACAAGAAGAGAGCCTGCACCAATAGTCTCTCATGATAATTGCTAGAGAAAATAACACAGACCATGATTCAACTACAGACCTGCTAATAAAGTGTCAATCACAGGCTTTGCCTCTTTAGTGATGGGAATGAGGTGTCACCGAGTTTCCTCTCTGACAAATGTACTTCATTCCTTCATTGGCATGAACTGCCCCCGAATACGCTGATAATCGTGTGCTAATGTGAGGAGTATATTTACACTGCTGTTTGTCTCTCGGCAGATAATGACTCTCATAGCCTGGCTTTGTCAGGTTGAAAAGGCAATGACCACTTACTACAGGCTAACCACCCCAAGTCAAACAACTGTAGGAAGCTGCGATGGAGATCCTGTGAGGAGGGGAGGCAGGCTGGGTCTGCCCGACGAAGCCTTCAGGGTGGATGGAATGGGAGGGTGGGAAAGAGCTCCCCGCCCCTAGTCTGCCCCTCCTGGTTTCAGGTGTTCCTGTTTCACCTGGTCTCTCCTTTGGTTCCAGTCCTAACTAGGGCCTAGGTGACAGGTGCCCTTACCCAGTCCCTCACCTATGGCGGATGACTGCACCTCAAGGACCCCATGTCTGTGAGTCTGGATGCAGCTGTTCATCCTGGCCAACACCTGTTAGGGCCTTTGATCTCAAACAGATGCCACCTCCTCTTGGGAGCTTTCCAGTTCTGCACAGGAGCCCAGGCCTAACTTGGGAAGATGAGGCCTGGGATCTCATCTCCAGATGGAGCCACAAGACTCCTTGATGTGGAGGGAGAAGAAAGGGGCTGGATATAGCAGTGTCCCCTGTTAATTGTCAGACCCAGTAGAGACTTCTTTCATCTGTAATAGAATCGGTTTCAACAGACAAATGCGTTTTCCTGCGCAATTCAGTTGCAAGGTTCTTAAAGACCACACCAAGCAAACAAAGAATTGCAATTTGCATTTCTGACTCCTAAGACAGACCCACTTGGCAGGAGTTCTCAACCCAGTGGCCACACCCCAGGTTTCCATTCCATTACCTATGTCAGTTTTCTTTGATTCTCAACTCCAAGTTAATACCAGTAACCTCTACTTTTTTCTCACTTAACATTTTTTAAATCACTGTGACTCAACTACCGACCTCTGGTCAAGAACAGAACAGGGAGTCTTGCCTAAGACTTTGATCTGGAAAATGCTAAGGCAACAAAAACAAGAAGGAAAAACATGCGGTTGTAAGCATACTTTTTTTTTTCTTTCTTATGACTACAGTGGGAGACCAGTGTCTTTTTATTTAGCAGAGCACCTTCATGTGTTTGGGGATATGGACAGGAGGTGCTGGAGCCTACAGGGACAGTTTAGAGACAATCTGGTCTGCACAGAGAAGGACCAGACATCGAGCAATGGCAGACTAGCAGCTGGGAAGAGCAGGAGAGAGGGGTGGTTCTCCACCACAGCTGAGAGCTGGCATGCCAGAGCAGCCATGGTGGGGGCAGTAATTGCTTTCTCTTGGGTCTCTTCCAGCCCAAGAAACTCACCTGGCACCTCTGGTCACAAGGGAAGCTCCCTACTGAGGCTGGCCTATCCTGGAGCTTCATCCTCCTGACTGCAGGGTCTGGCTTGATGGTGAGGGAACAAAGCATCTCAGACCTGGGAGGGGCTGGTGGCCTTTCCTCACTGGGAAGTCTGCCTTGTGCAGCAGTTCACGGGGCAGCAGGAGCCTGTGCCGGTCACCTACTGCTGCAGATCCACCTCTGGGGCCCTGAGGCTGCTGGCTCAAAGGGAGATACCCCTGGCAAGTTCCATGGTAGGACTGTCCATGGATGACCTGTATCCAATGATTTCTGCTCCTTCCCTTGGGCTGTAGACTCTTTCAGGAGACCCTTCTCCTGGCTCCAGCCCCCAGTGACCACCCCTCATGGCAGGTCCTGCAGCCAAAAAAGCAAGGCCCACAATTGCCAGCCCAAACAGGGGCCACTTGTGGTGAGAGGTGCTGGAGGAACACGGGGAGATAATGGAGGTTGTGCCAGCTTCCATGTAGAGGCACACACAGCCATAGACAAGCTACAGTATACTCTGTGTGCACAATGAGGGTCCAATGCCACCGACAAACCAGGTAGCCCCGCGCTGAGCCATTGACGGGGAAGCACCTGCCTGGCCTCTGGTGCTCTGAGGTCTGGCCTCTGCCACACCCCTGGGTACCCAAGGGGAACACGAGGGGATGATAAACAAACAAGGATAGTGTCTCTTAGTAAGGAGTTAGTAAGGCCAACTGTCTATTGGCCAGGCCCTGGCAATGGAGTATGCATGTATTTATATATGGGATGAACATGAGTAAGTGTGTCACGTGTGTGTCTGTGTACATGTGTATGTATGTGTGTGTTTCAGTCAGAGGGTCTGTATATGTATACATGCATTTGTAAGAATGTGTATCTGTAGATGCATACATGTGTGAGTGAATGTGTTTGTGTGCACTTGCCTGTGCATGTACACGAGTAAGTCCTGTGTATGTGTACAAATGTGCATGTCTGTGTATGCATGTGTAGCATGTCTCTGTGTGAAAGTGTGCCTGTGTATTTGCACGAGTGTGTGGTTCTGTATGTATGTAAATAAATGCAAGCGCATGTGTGTATGCATGTGCATGTCTGTGTGTACATGTGTGCACGTGTGCATGTCTTTGTATACAGATGTGCGAGTGTCTGTGTGCATACATGTGATTAGCAGTGGTGGTAAGTGGTGGATGGGGCCAGGCCTGCTCTCTCTGGTCAGGCCTGAAGGTACTGGGTCATTGCTAGACCACGTTCTCATCCCAATGTCCTCAGCGAGAGCCCGGCCAGACTCTCTCCACTG